TATACAAATTTTTGTGGATTTTTTGTAATGCTTTTGGTATTTTTTGTGAATTAAACAAAACTGAATCAAATAATTAATTAATATTCCAAAGAAAATGAAAAATATAATATCAGTTTGAATCCTGGCCCTTGGATATGGCGCCAGGTATGATCCAACGGTCCAAAACAAATCTGGGAATCCAAAGCCTCGAGAACACGCGGCAACTGTTCTTCATCTCCTCCAATTTAAAATTTCATCAAATCAAAGCAAAAATGCCAAACAACCACAAGGATTCAAACGCAATCATCATGTGAACCTCGCAGTAATCATCATTTGTTTCAATTATTGCTCTACATCATGAATTTTGGAGATTAAAACAAGAAACCTAACATGCTCATAGATTGGGATCGAAGCAATTACCAGTAATTAGCATGAATTGGATCAATTAACACGTTCAGTAGATGAATTCTAAGCATAATCAAGCATCAATACGTAAAGAATTCGCGAATCTCACCTTAAAACTCTGAAACTGAGTTAGGAGAAGTAGATTTTTGTGAACTTTGATCCTTCGAAGCTTCTTCCACAAGTTGAATCGAAGTGAGAGAATTGGTTCTTCTTGTTCCTTGCTATGATCTCTTGCAATCTGGAGCGGATGAACTCTTGAATTTGCTTGTAGATCAAGAATCCTTGAGGGAAAGAGTGCTTCGAACCAAACTGTTGAGAGAGATTGAGATGAGATTTTTTTTTTTATCTGAATTTGTGAAGTGTGTTAATGACTGAGTTGAATGTGAATGAATTATATATGAGGGACGAGTTGGGGTGAGTAGCATGGACTGAATCACTGAGTTTGTTTTAACAAACTTTGAGAGTTGGTTAGATGTGAAGCCAGCTCAGCAAATCATTTACAGCCTTCAATTCTCTTGGCTCAAGGCTTAATCAAGATCTAATTGATGTTTCCCTCGTGTTTGAGCATTCTTTTTGGATTGAGAGGCAGTAATTCCCCATTTACCTTCTGCTGTTAAAAATTATAACTGTGTGGAATTGTTAACTTCATCTGGAGACTGCCACGTGTACAGGAAGACTTATGATGCAATCTTGGACATTTTAGATTCCTTGTAACATGAGGATTGATGTCTCAAACATTCACACTTTGATTCACACTGAGTTGTGAGATTCGAAGCAAACAAGAAGCATACTTACTCAAATTTTGTAATGTAGCAGTTTGTTTATTTGAATGATGAATTTTTGTATTCTCTTGAATTTGGTGGATTTGATGCTTCACACAAACCCCAAATATGTATTATAACTTGCTTAAATCATTAGATTGGTCATAGAACTCATGGAACTCAAAACCACTTGTTGAAATGAAAATGTACAAAATGAACAACTTGGTTTTCAAAGACATTTTGGAGAATTGGATTGATTCATGCCAAATTGGGCCCAAACAGAAGTTGTATGTGCATAATGTGGTGTGCTCAATACCTCAAATTGGCCTCAAATTGATTCCAACATGGTATGCCACTTCCATTTGCCAAAATTGCTTCAAACGCAAGATACATGTACAAAATGAGGTTCTAGGGCAATGTGGCTTCCAAACACTCTTCATACACATCACATGTACCTTAAAGAATGATTCAAAATCCATATTTTCACTTGTAGATGCCCATATCCAAAAATCACCATGTGACCTCAATTTTCTTAAAATGACCACTTAGGATTTTTGAGAGATTTGAAGATTTAGCTTGAATTGAAGTGATATGAATGCAAACAGATGTTAATCAAGTATAATGTGAGGTGTTCCAACTTTTGGTTTGCCAAAAACCCCATGAAAGTCCATAATTCAAGCATGCTTCTCATAATGACTTTCATCACAAGTTTCTATGCAAAACCCCTCAAGATGACCTCAAATGCCAAAATGGACCTCACCATTGGTCTTAGAATACCCCATATACCTAGGAAACACTATCCTTTTTCAAAATTGTGAATTTTGAAAATTGGCCAATAGGAGGGTGCCACGTGTCACCTCCTCATTGGTCCAAAAATTCAAAAATTCACAAAGGCCCTCATTCTCTTCTAAATGAAATTACTAGATTGAATCCACAAGTGGAATATTCAAAAACATCACCAAACTCTTCAAATTGCCATTTTATTGACTTTGACTTTTTCTTGAAAACCCCCCAATTTTGAACTACAAGTCCTTGATCCTTTCATTTTTGGCCTTTGACCTCAACTACAAAGTTGTAGAGGGAGAACAATTATGCACTTTGAAAAAAAATTTCATCTCAAAAGCATTTTCTATGAGAAAATTAGAGCCATGACTTTTCTAGCGAAAACATCGATAGATTCGGCATCTTGAGAGTTGACTTTTTGGCACAAGGAGATAGGAGCCAAATCAAGGAAAACTTTGTGAAGATCAAATGTAGAGAGTATCAATCCATGCATATTGAGCTTTGAATGGGCCTCTAACTCCAAAGTATGAAGATATTAGAGCCTCCAGAAGTTCAGAAAATTAGGGTTTTGGGCCCCAAAAGTCCTCTGATCAAAAACCCACTTTCTTGTAGAATTGGAACTTGAACTTTTGCACACTTGAAATTCATGCCAATTAGAGCACATCAAAAAAATAATGGCCTCAATATCCCAAGGAATGACCAAGATAGGGCTCCAAGAAGTTGGAAACCCTAATTTCAGCATTTGTAGGGACCAATCTGTAATTTTGCCTTCAAAAATGGTTGAGACACCAAAATTGATCTTTGATTCTTTTCTCATTGAAATTAACCTGATGGAGAGCACAATGCCTCAATAATCCCATTCACATATTCTTTCATGGCTGGTATCCAAGCCTCAGAAGTTGGCTCACCCACTTGAATCTCTGAGAAACCCTAATTGGGGCATTCTTCCCTTCAAACTTGAAATCCTGCAAAATTGTTAGTGCACAAATCCACACACACCATCATATCCACATAAATTAGGGTTAGAGTCCCTCCAATCCCTCAAATATCTTAAGACAAGCACCAAGAGAGGAATCACCTGACCACACATTGGCCTCCTTGCTTGTAATCTCATTTTTTTATTTTTGAGATATGAATGAATGTATGATTGAATATCATGATGAATGAAAGCTTAGGGGTAAAAATGGGGTTATGACAGCTTGCATTCATGCATCATGAACATTCATGCATGACTTGGTAGACATCAAAAGAGACAAGACCATCGGTAAAAATTCTGGTTTATTCTTTAAATGTCCCTTCGGATTTGAAATACCAACAAGACCCTCGATGACCCTTATGGATTTTAATATCAGTAGTCCCTTGATGATGCCTCGATGTCCCTCGGATAAAAAACCCCTGATAAATCCTTCGATTGTCCCTTCGGAAAATGTTGGTATGTCCCTCGGTTGTTGCCTTCGGAAAAAGAATAAATCGGTTTGTCCCTTCGAAAGGTTACCCAAATTGTCTCTAGTTTGCCAAGTTTCTCGTTTTTAAAACTTCCCTTTTTCATTAATTTGGTTGCTCATATTGTGAAAGACATGTTGTATTTCAGGTGTATTGTCAAATTATTGGTAATTTAGCATGGCTTCGGACAGAAGGTTTCCAGTCAGAGTCAAAGTGGTCCCTCCCAGATTGTTTCTCTTTTGTGGTCATTGTTGACCTTTCTTTTTTATTCCTGGGATGACTTTGTATCCAGATGTTGACTTCTTGTACTTTACTTTGGTTCATTGATATTACAGTTTTCTCTTCAGCTATTGATTGATATCGTGCCAGATTTCACGAATAATTTGACAATACCTGAAATAAAATATGTCTAAAACAATAAACCAAATTAAAAAACATATGCACCCATGCATCATACTGCATTGCATCACTTGATAGCATGTCTCTGTCCTAATCTGGATGTTCTTCAAGTATCTGATGGTGCTTCCTTTTCCAGTTGTTCGCCGGTATCTGACCTGTGATAATTCTCAAGAATGGATAAGTTGAAGCAAGAGAATGAAGAACTTCGTGCTAGGGTGGAAGCTCTTCTTATTGAAAGGGATAACCAGAAATCGCTCTCAGCTCAAGGGGTTGTTGTTCAAGACGATCCTCAGAGGTTCAGTCAGAAGATTGCTAATGCTAGAGGCAAGAAGCATATGTTTGTGGATGCTCATAATTTTCCCTCAAAGGGTAGGCCTGATCAAGAGATATGCACCCGTGCTTTCAACCAAGGACCAGACCCCCGAAGAAACTTGCCATTTTGCCCTGACTAAAAGAAAAACTTGAAACAAAAGGTTAATTACATGAGATACATTACAGACAAACATGTATAGGAGAGTAGCCTGAGTGACGAAGCAAGACAAACCGGACCGGAAAAGGGAAAACCCTGGACCACACAGGGACTGATCTAGCTTGTGACCTCTTCTCCTCAAAGTAAAAACATGAATGAATGTATGGTGAATGAAATCTTAGTGGGCCAAAAATAGGGTTATGACATTTTCCCCTATCGAAATACTCTTCATCTGTGAGAGAATTAGACCGATAGTTCTTTTGATTGAAGGGACTGAGAGTATTTCGATACAGAATACCCGATTTTTGTCCGCTAAGATGAATGAATGCAGTTGTTGACTTTGTTATGAACATGCTAATGTGATGTAATGCGAAAATGAAAAGAAACTTTTATGGGATAAGAGTGATTTCTGATGTGTTCTGGCCATGGCGAGAGAACACAGTGAACAGGAATAAATAAACTGTTATCTGGCTGTAACAAGAGAGTAACAATGATTGATAAAACTGCATTCTGGTCGTGGCGAGAGGATGACAGAGGCCGTAGCAATGTGACTTGAGAGTATAAAAACTGCATTCTGGCCGTAACGAGAGAATAACAGTGGCCGAAGCATCCCGCGTCCTAACTTCTCGAAGAATGTTGTTGCTAAAACAGGAAGGGTTTCTAATTGTGTTATGGTTAGTCAGAAGAAGTTTATGCATGACACCATGCCTTTGAGTGGTACCGACTACTTGGGATCGCATCCAAATTACTCTCGCGGGGAGATGTCCTCAAGAAGGAATGAGACACGACAAGGAAAACAATTGGAAGAGGGAGCAAGAACTAATCTGACAGTCCACAAACTTGTTTCAACCAGTGAGACCATTAGGTCTGGATGTTTTCAGAGAAAGAGAGAAAGTGAGAACAATGTAGCCTCTTACTTTAATAGAAGGCTAAAAGGTAAGAGAAGGGATGATCGACAAGCTCCAATGCGAGCACTTGCTCAGCCTGTGCCAGTGCAAGCTCCTTTGTACTACCCACGACCTGTGGTTCCCACAATGGCACCAATTGGCTTGCCTTATGCACCATATTCCAGCTATCTGGTGCCTACTACTCTGTATCCACAATATCCACTCCAACATCCTCCGAAAATATTGCAATATCAACCGCATCCACTGTATGTGCGCCAATCAGTACAGCAACCTCCAAAGTAATTATTAAGTTGGTTACTATTTTATTTTAAATAAAATAGGTTATTTGGAATTAAGAGAATCATTAACCTAAAGTTGGAAAAAGAGAAAGAACGTAAAAAGGAAAAGAAGAGCAGAAAGAGGAGAAGAGGTCAAGGTCCCAGAATTTATCGAAGTTGCCAGAAATTATCAAGGTAGGGGGGGGGGGGGGGGGGGGGGGGGAATCTCTCTTTTATTTCTGATAATGGGATTGTATATGGTTAAGGGTAGGATAAGTTTCCTAAATCCCCATATTGACGTGTTTGGAAGATTAGGGAAGGAATTGGATGAATGAATCCTAATTATTTTTATGTGTGCCAATATAATTGTTGTTGTTCATGATTGAATAGAGTTTGGAACATAAAAATATGATTATTTTGTGATTTGGATGTCAAAATCGTAAGAATTAGGGGTTGGGGCTGTGCTGGAAATGCAGCAGAAAACCCAGTTTTCGTGCTCATCGCCGGGCGAAGAAGCCTGAATTTTGCCATATTTCTGTTTCATCTTCGCTGAGCGAAGGGATGGGTCGCCGGGCGAAGAGGGGAGAATTTTGCCATGTTGCTGTTTTGGATGCGCTGAATATTTTTCAAAAATTTTCTAAAACTTCAAATGTTTCTAATTTTTGAACCGTAGCTCAGAATTGAGTGCCGTTTGTGGCCACGTTTTCAGAAAAATGTGAATTTTCTAAAATAAGGACTTTTGATATTTGAAAACTATTTTTATCTCAAAAGGTCGTAAAATCATTGATTAAACGTAAATCGAAATGTAAACGTGTTACACTGAATTGTGGTCGACAATGAGAGTAATATTGTTCTAGATTTATGTTGTGATCGTATTTTCCTGTTTTACTTGTGTGATTCTTGTGAATTAATGGTCATATTACTATAAGAGATAGTATGTGATTAGTTCTGTACAATATGGATTTCTGGGTATGAAATGATAATGAATTGTTGTTTGTGAATTCATGATTGAGTATACTTGTGTTCATGTATTTGAATTATGGTTGATAATGAATACATGAGTGATATAATTGTATCTTATGATTGTGTTATTGCTGTGTGTTATGGTTATATCACTATGAGAGATGGTGTATAACTGATGTTGTGAATATTGAACTTGTGAAGCTATAATTAGAGAATTATGATGTTATGTTTGTGATGAATATGATAATGTTATGATTATTATTATATGAGAATGCATGAGTTTGTTAGTGTCATACATTGCATTGTGAGTCGTTGTGGCTAATTCCAATCGTGTGGAATTAGTGGATTACAAAGGAGGCTGTGTCCATAGGGATGGATCAGTGTTATTGCCAGGTTCATAGGGATGAATTGGTAAAGATGTATGTCGTGTTCATAGGGATGAATCGGTGGAGCAGAACTATGAGGTTCTGGAATTATGGTACCACATGCGTAAAGTCAGTTGGTCTTTTTGCATTATGATGTTGTTGTTGCATTATAACATGAATGGGAGTTTCTCAATGTTATAATGGTGTTGCATAGGGTCATATGTCATTATGTTTTGGAATGAATATGTTATTGCTTGAATGTGTTATGATTGAGTGGTTACTAATCTGACAATATGTTGATAGGGTGCTTAGATTATTTATGCTATTCTGATTATGTATGAGCTTATAATATTTGATAATTGATGATGTTTTCTCACCCTTACTGTGGTTAATATTTCAGATTGAGAAGTAGCTACTTAGATGCGGTAAGGATAGCAAGTTAGGGCTATCTCTTTTATTTCGAGTCGGTCATGCTCTGGTAGTGTAACACTGGGGGAACGTATTTGTGTTCGAGTTGTATAACTCTAGCTTATAATTATAGTTGAATTATGTCGTAAGGTTGAGACCTTAGATATACTTGGATTTTATTGAATTCCCGATGTTAAGCAATGAATTATCGTTGTGCTTTTAAAACATGATATATATTATGATTATATGTTTTTAAGTTTCCCTTCAGTTAGCATGACATGACAGGTGTATTTTAATGAGGTGTTGTGACATCCTTATGTATTCATGTTTTACTCTGAGTATTTATTTAATTATTCCGCGGGGCTAGAAGGGTGTTACAGTATGTACTCCGTTTATTTATGGCCAGCAAAGATAAAGAAAAATTGTTCTTTTTACCATATAATACTAGCAACGAGTTAGATTTTCATTCTAAATTCATCTATTATATTTTTTTTTGGTTTTTGACGTTGTGTAGAAAGTTTCCATCTAACATTTATTTAATCTTACAGTGGACACTGGTTATTTGTGAGTAATCATGTAAGAGAAATTTTACATTATCTGGATTCTTTAGACAATGATTGGACAAAATACCCAGATATGAAGAAGATGATTGATACATAAGTTAGATTGTTCTAAACATTCATGTGTATATTTGTTTATTCATGTGAGATTATTCTAAATATTTGTTTATATTTTATTCATGTGAGATCATTGTAAGTACTGTATACAAACAAATTTATCTAAGGATGTCTTCATTTTACGACGTTAACTTCAATAAGTTTACTTTCTTCGCGCAACCCGGATTTTGGAGGGATCAATTCACTATAAGTACTATATATAAAAAAAATATCTAAGGATGTCTTTATTTTACGACGTTAACTTCAATAAGTTTACTTTCTTCACGCAGTGTGCTGACACGTCTAAGGTGTATAGTTGTATACCTGATGATCACTATGTTCAAACATTGATGGTTGTAATGATCTTTTCTTTAGCTTTCTACAAACGACGGTTAAAGAAATCGAAGTAAGTTTGTCACATCTATTATAAACTTTATGATGCACCATCTTTTGTTGTGTTTTTCCTACCAAATCCACCAAAAAGACCTTGAAAAGGAGCTCACACGAAGGTCGGTGACACATACTGCATAGGATATTTCCAACTCAAGAGATTGTGAGCGCCAAGGATGGCATCTAATGACTTACAAATTGACGCTACTCCGATGCTTATAAAATTTATAAAGGTTTGAACAATACTTTATAAAGAGAAATTAGCGTAGTGAAATTTGAACAAGTCATTATTATTTTGCGACTGTGTTTAGTAGCACTATACTGTAGAAGAATTTGAACAAACCACTATTTTCTTCTATTTGTGGCCGACAATATTGTTGTTGAACCATACTAGGACAACTCATATTGAAATGCTGCAGATTCTTCAATATGATTGTCGGTTTTTTATTGCTTTGTTTGCAGGAAATAAATAATATTTACTATAAAACTGAATACAGAAGAGAATGGTGTACAAGCAAGGGCAAACCATCAACTTGCTTCCTTTTCGCAAGAAAGTTTACTAGGACTGCTGCTTTGAGGCTTCTTAACATGGTATGGATTAACATATATATACAACAACATGACCTCCAAGATTTTATAGTCTTCTAATTTAATTTACACAAAAACAAATTGAAAAATATACACAACATGACCTCCAAGATTTTATAGTCTTTTAATTTAATTTATCTTATGAGTTTTGATTTGTTTTCGTCTTTTACTTTATTTTTCTTTCATTTACTAATTTGATGAGTGGATCTTTCCGTTCCACTATTATAATTTTCTACTTTCTATTCAATTCAAATTGAATTTATATTAAAAAAATATTATATGTATTTGTAGTGATTATTTTTATTTATATAGTGATTGGAGGTAAAGAGAGACTAAAATGAAAGAATCTAAAAAAAAAAAAATCTAAATTTTTTATGACTAGTTTTTTTTTGTTGAGATATCGTTTATATTACAGAGAAAAATTGGGTATTAACCATATTTTATAAACCACGATGTAAGGCAAAGTCAATCTCTTCTTTGTTTCTCACGTCTATTTCCTATTTTCTTTTTTCCTTTCTCATGTTGTTCTACCTTGAACAATCCTTGTAACAATCAAATCAACGAAACACTTTCCAGAGAGCTAAAACGTCTCCTGGCAGTAATATTTAAGTTTATCAAGGAGTGCTTGGGGCGGCGGCGAAGAAGGGACGTCGTTTCTTTCAGTTCCCACCGACAACGGCTCCCTCATTCCTGTTTCTCTCTCTGATTTCAGATCTCGAAATATTTGAATTGATTGAGTTTGAGTGAGTTTCATGGATCGATTTTTGGTTGTGTTTGGTATTCTAAATATTCGTTATAGATTATGATTTTTGTTGATGAACGTCGAAATTTGGTGATGCGGAACCTAGGATTGCAGAAATTGATTGGAGTTTTGATACTTGGGGCGGTAAGTGCAAATTGTTTTGTTATTTAGATCTTTTAGGATTTGTGATTTGAGGATATTGATTAAAGGAATAGAAAATAGACGGAATTCATTGAATTGGTTAGTGAATTTGTTGGTGATTTTAGTATCACCAATGTATTTTAGTAGTAATATGATTTCCTAAAGGCCGATGTACTTATGCGTTAAGTTCGGAGACGAGTTAGGGAAGTGCGGAGTGCACGCTCGTCGAGCCAATGCATAATTGAATATGAATAATTGAAATGGGGTTCCAAGGGGCGAAGCCCCTGGCGGGGTGCGGGGCAGCGCCCCGCTGGGGTCCAAGGGGCGGAGCCCCTGGCTGGGTCCCGAGCGAAAAATTTGAATCCGTTTTCCCCAACAGACATAACCGTTTCGAACCGGTGTGTCTTTTCAGTTTCAGTTGTTGATCTCCTATATAAGGAGTCATTTGGTCTCGGTTTCGTAACACAAAAAACGTCTCTTTCTCTCTACATTTGTAATCCGTATTCTTTTGCCAGTAATAGATTGATCTTCGAGAATTATCCCCGCAAAGATTTCGTGAACCCAGGCAAGAATATGGTCGAAATACTTTGTTCGGAAAGTGTACGAACACGATTCCTCGAAGTTATCCAGGATTATCACACCAAATTTCCAACAGAATTTGTTGTTGGTTCTTAAACCGATTGAATTTTATAAAATGTTTAGGTTCGAAAGATGGATGTTATAGTGATTGGAGTATTGACACTTTTGTTGATGAGAAGGTAAGAGTTGTTAA